TTCCTTCCTTCCTTCCTTCCTTCCTTCCTTCCTTCCTTCCTTCCTTCCTTTTCCCCCCTCCCTCTTTCATTTATCTAACATTTCACCCATATTTGCAATGTGTTTAGAATGTGCTAACAACTGGATAAGCTCTTAATTCACAGTGGTAGTAAGTAGTCTTCTAGCTGAGGATGGCCATATGCCTTTCAGCTAGGTTTGTAAAGCTCCCGGAACTACGGATTCTTTTGGAGCAGCTGTGCCCCCTGGTGGCAGGTGATAGTATGGTCTGTGAAGACCCTTGCCAGAGAGCCCAAGGTCACTTCCGTGGCTTCTCCCAGGTGGGAGGAACTCAGAGGTCCTGAGAAGAACCTCCACGACCCAACCGACCCAACCGCTGCACGCTCACGTCCTGTACTAGTTACCTGTGCTTAAGTGTGATGAATACCTGACAGAACCTTTTAGAAAGAGGAAGGGTTTATTTTGCCGCAGGGCTTCAGAGGGTTTATAGAGAGGGAGGGTGCCGCAGGTGGCCTAGCTGAGTTGTTTGCTCCTAGGCAATCAGGAAGCAGAAGAAGGGGAATGCCTTCGCAGCCTGCTCGGCTCTCTTCCTCCTTTCATTCTTCTCCGGCCTCCAGCTCTTGAGGTGGTGCCACCCACATTTAAGGGGAAATTCCCTCCTCAGTTAACTGCTTTCCGGATCTGCCTTCACGGGCACACCCAGGGGTGCGTGTCCATCATATTCTGATCCATGTCCAGCCAATTCGATCATGATGATTGTTTTTCCCAGGCCCCTGCTATTCCATGCCCAAATGATGGCCTGTGCCAGCCTGATTAGCTCTCAACCCAACAATTCCTGTATTGGGCAGACAAGTTCCTCCTTGTATCTCTTGGCTATAGGTCTACCTCTGTCCACAGAAGCACTTGTAGGTACCAGTGACCCTTCCCTATGTTCTGTCAGTGTTTTGAAAACAGACTTCTCTTCTCTGGGATTTCTCTTTCTTTTCTTTAAAATACACCTGCATTTTATATGTGTATGTGTGGTATGTATGATGTGTGTGTATGTGGTATGTATGATGTGTGTGTATGTGGTATGTATGATGTGTGTATATGGTATATGTATATGTGCTATGTATGATGTGTGTATTTATGGTATGTACATGTGTGTAAATGAAATGTACGTGATGTGTATGATGTATGTGTGTGTGTTTGTGTTTAGTCTTATATATGGCACGCCTCATTGGTCAAAGGACAGCTTTCAGGTGTCAATTCTCCCCTGCCTTGTTGTGCAGCGTGTCTCTTGTTGTTTCCTTCCCTGTGTACTCTAGGCTAGCTGGCCCATGAGATACCAGGAGATTCTCCTGTATCCACCTTCAATCTCGGCTAAGGAGTGATAGAATTACAGATCTGAGCCACCACCCTGGGCTGTGGGATTGAGGTTCAAACTCTGCCCATCAGGTCTTTTACCTACTGAACCAGCTCCGGATTCCTTTTAGCCCTCCACCCCCAAGACAGTGTCCATTCCTGTGGCCTGGCTCTGTGAACTCAAGGTTAACACGTGAATCTTGTGAAACTTGACCTTGCGTCAGAGGAACCTGTTTTGGTCCAGAGAGAATGCTTGCCACTCTAAAAGGGATGGAAGAGAAGCGGCCCCTCCCCCACCAGACTCCCCACCAAAAAGCCTCTAAGAGACACTGCTCCCATTGCACAGGGCAGGAGACCTTCAAAGTTGGGCAAGGTTAATCAGGAGGTACAGACCAGTAGCCTGGCTCTGATGGACACCAGCATTCCAAACCACTGCATTTTAAACACTGTGATGGATTTGTTAAAAATTCACCAACTTGGGGCTGGAGAACCGGCTAATCAGTGAGGAGCACACACTGAATGAACTAGGAGAGGACTTGGCTTCAGCGCCTGCCTCTTCTAACTCCTGTTCCAGGGGCTCTGATGCCCTCTTCTGGATTCCTCAGACACGGCACCCACCCACCCACCACACACAGAGAATTAAAAAGTAAAAATAAATCTTAAAAGCATTATTGAGTTGAGGGAGCATCTTTCCCGCCTTCCCTATTTATCTCTCAACGTTTCCTTGATTTGCATAAGACTTGACTACACAGTGAGCTCCATTGCCAAGTGAGCAACACTAGGCCACACCCATTTGAAAAGCAGCTTTGTTTCCCGGTAGGTTACTGATGCAAGCCATCACTGTTTCCTCAGATGGCACCATTTGTGCCCTGCACCTATTATGGAGCCATGGATACAGGTGGTCCTCTGTAGCCTTGTTGCAGAAATAGTGAACAATTTGATGCAGAGAAACGGGAACAATTTGACAAGTACTAATGGAAGTGTATTTAAATACACGTGGAAAAAATTGCACCACCAGGTCCCTAAGCAACTGAGAGGATACCGAGGCTGGTGCGTTTTGACAAGCATTACAATGGTAAATATGTATAATGTATTACAGTAAATAGGACTTTTGGGACTCCGTGCTGAGGAGTCAGAGGATGGCGCTGTGAGGGGCAAAAGCTTGGATTATTCTGTGTGTCACTGTGGACAGATGTGTTAGAAAAAGCCTATTCTCTCTGGGCATGATCCCTTGGTAACACAGAGAGCAATGTGGAGCCCTGAGTGTGGGCTGAACGCTAGCCCTCACACCTAAGCCTTTCTCAGTGTCTCTGTACAATGCGCCGACTGCCCAGTGTTTGTAACAACCACGAGCAGAGCTTGTTTGTCAATGAATGATAATCTCACTGTGTGGAGATGATTTGCAGGATACTTTCTTTTGTAAAAGGAGGAGGAGACCCATGGTGTTTTCAAGGGAGGAAGTATTCCTTGGAATGTTACATACAGTCCTGTAGGCGGCTTGGCGGCGGGCTCTGACTGGCACTGGAGACTGTGGTATATGATGGACACAGTAATGGCCTCGTGCAATGGCATCGTTTTGGTCTCTGGAACCTGTGATGATGTTGGAGTCTAGTGGATTTACCGCTGCTAATCAGAGTATTTAAAAGTAGAGTGACCATATATACGGTGAACCTAGTGTAAGCACCAGGGTCCTAAAATGTGGACGAGGAAGAGGGAAGGAGGTCACAGCCATGTCATGCATATGTGAGAGACCCTGACTTCTGCCAGCATTGCTGTCTTTAAGGATGGAAGGGGATCCTGGACCTCCGTGGTGCTTTCGTGTACTACCAGCTACTTGGGATGCTGAAGCAGGTAGATACCGTGAGTCCAGGAGATTGGGGCCAGCTTGGGAAACATAGTAAGGTGGTGAGACCTTTGATCATAAAGGGTGGGTGGTGGGGAAGGATGGGGAAGAGGAAAAAAAGGCCATAGCCAAGGGAAATGGAAAGAGGAAGGAAAAGGAGCTTCCTCTAGAGTTACCAGAAAGAACACAAGCCGACTGACACTTTGAATTCAGCTAAGTGAAAAGTTTTTTTTTGAACTTGGAACTGCAGAACTATAGTTATGTTTTCTTTGCATTGAGGACTCATTATTGGAAGGGATAGTAGGGATAGAAAATGTCTACAGAGGTAGGCAGTGCTCAGGGGATTCATCCAAGGTCTGAGGGGCCTGGAGACTGAGAAGCCAGGCAGGGCATTGGTGGTCTAGTCTGTGGCTTCTTAAACTGAGACTGCGATTTACTGCATAGCTGGAGAGAGAGGTAGAGGAACTGCATAGCTAGGTATGGAGGTGGAGGATCTGCATAGCTGGAGGAGAAAATGGAGGAGCTGCACAGCTGGAGGTGGAGGTGGAGGAACTGCACAGCTGGAGGAGAAAATGGAGGAACTGCACAGCTGGAGAGAGAGGTAGAGGAACTACACAGCTCGGTATGGAGAACTGCACAGCTGGAGGAGAAAATGGAGGAACTGCACAGCTGGAGGTGGAGATGGAGGAACTGCACAGCTGG